CTTCCCCTTTTATTCACCAGCCACCAGAGCAGTCTTTCGTGCAGTCCTTGGTTAGCAGGGCTGATTTTTATGTTAATTCTTAGGTCCTAACACCACTCAGCAATATCCAAGCTGTCTGTGCCATCAGGATTGCTGCCAGACTGCAGCTCCATATGTCTCCTTTTTTGGTGTTTTCATGCAAATTCTTCTGCTAGTTGGAGTTTATTCTACTTCTATATCCTTCCCTTCAAAGCTCAGCGCTCCAGGATTGTCTTCCGTATCTGTGCTAATTGGTTCCCCTTTTCTTTGTTGAAGAGGGTCTGTGCAGTCTTTCTGCCAATTCTGCCATCTTACTGCAACTCAAAATAGCTCAGATTTTTAGACACAATTAAAACAAGGAGTTCCTTGGTTGTACAAATGGCTAAATATATGACTACTAACTGAAATACTGGCTGTTCAAACCCACCCAGAGACCCCTTAGGAGAAATCTGCTTCCAACAGTCAACATCTTTGAAAATTCTGTGAAGTACAGGTGTACTCTGCACACATGGGGTCATAGTGAGTTGGAACTCATTCAGAACAATTGGTTTCAGTGATTAAAATGAGAAGCCAGAGGCAATTATTATATTTTTTTCCTCTAACTGATAAAACAAACTAAAGGAAGGCCAGAATTAGGTAGTGCTGTAGGTTCTAAGTTGCTGTTTCACTTCTGATTCAACCTATTTTTCATACTTTTAAAAAAGTTCTCTAGCTTGGACATTAAAAGCAAGATTAAGGAGATATACATAACCTTGATTCTCTATTTTATTGTACCAAACATGTTTTTTTTTTAATTCAAAGTATAATCCAGCTTCTTTGCAGATAATATTCCCTAGAATTTTAAAGGTGTCAGATTCAGTCAATGGCATATACATTTTGTGAATTAATTGTATTGCCTGAAAATAGGGAATTTAGGATCTAAGAACCTTTTCTTTTCCATTGATGCAATACAAAAACGAATGTTTGATTGACAAAATGTTGATTTCCTATTCCCAAGTAGGAGAGATATTTTTGCTGTCAGTGGGCTCCCTTAGCACATGTTAGAGAAAACAGGAATTTCCAAATGAGCTTTAAGTCCCAGAATTTTCTATAAAGAATAGAAGGCACATCTATTTATAGGTCACTTTGGAGAAAACAGCTATTCCATTTTCCTTTGTGCTACTTTGGGAAAAAATAAAATAAAAAAAGTCTGTCAGTCTCTGAAATCTGAAGTGCTCTGAATAGAGGGATGAAAAGTGATATGATTGAACTGGTGAATGACAATGAGCTTTCCACAGGAGTTGGAGCAATGCAGGACCTTCAGTTAATCTATATTTTCTTCATTTCCTCAAGGTCAAGATAGCCTTTTTTTTTTTTTTTAAGAACAAGAAATGACAATACCTCACATCTGTATAGCACTTTTTATTTTCAAAGGATTAATTTTATTTTTGGTCTCACAATATCATTGTTAGAGAAATAGAAGAGATTGTTTTTATATCCATCAGAGAACTATATGTGCACACAGTGAACAAAAATAGAAGTAAAACAAGTAAGGAAATAGTGTGGTGAGTGATCATTTAGAACAGAATTTTGATGTTTTGCAATTAACAATTCATTTTTATTTTAGTATTATACTATTGTCACCAAATTATATCCAAATGTCTGAAATTTCAACTTTATTATTCATCTCCAAGCACTATCAGCAGAAAGAAGTAAATGATTAATTCTGTATATAGTTCAATGTTGCAAAGATTTTCAATCTTTATTTTTAATCTCCAAATATATCAGTGTTGCTTTCTTAAAATCTTCATATAAAAAGTACATTATAATTTGGTAGTTAATTAATATATTTTGAACATTATACAGGTTTTTTTTTCTACATAAGAAGCAAAATATATGGTGGTAATTCATCATATTTTGGATTTAATATATGTGATGATATCCTCTCAATTCAGAAAATAAATCAACTTAAATTTCTAAACCACAAAAAATGCTATTTGAAAAATAAAATTAATAAAATTCCATGGAATGCTTTATCATAATATTTAAAAATTCTATATTACATACAATTAATGACTCAATTATGTCCTAAGATTCATAACTTGTGATCCAAAACTTATTTTTTTAAATAATAAAATATGATTATTTTTTCAGCTTCTTCTGGACAAATTTAAATTCAAAGGTCACATTTCTGCATATATTTTATTCTTAATATGTCTGAAGAAATAAATGGTTAATGAGACTTGTGAAACCTAGAAGACAAGGAAACAATAAGATTTATCAAAAGTGAAAAGAACAATTAGTAAAGTTAACACTCAAACACATAATCACTGAAATGAATATTATAATGGACAAGGGGATCATAGAAATGAGAAAATTCCAAAGTAAGGTACATATTGTGATGAATGAGATGTCCAAAAAGTGAGTCTTCTAGAGAAAGCCACCTCTCACCAAGTTCAAGTATAAAGGGGACTAAGAAATAGATTGCTACAGCATTAGTTACATGGACTATCGTTGGATTCAAAGCCTTGATGCACTCACTGCTAATCTCATTCTTTTTCATCATCTTTCTACCTATGTCCTCAAAGCTAGAAAACTGGGATCATGAAAGGTGCTGGGCAAAGGGTCAAGATAAAATGGAGCACTGACATTCCTTACTTAAGTATCACCTTAAAGATCTCATTCTTGAACATAGACAAAAAAAATATTTTCAAAGAATGATATTAATGCTATTAACATGCCTTAGTTAGACACTATGCTAGGACCAAAACTGTTTTCAGTTCAAGAGATTTCAAGGAACCTGAAGTTAGTGGCTTGGTGAATCAACATATTATCAAATTCAGGATCAGTTTCCTATTCTGGCCAAACCATGCATTGCATATTAGTTCCAATGCTGAGGTCCTCACTATAATAATCCACCCACTCCTGCAGTTTCATTGAATCTGGAGCTCTTACTTGTTCTCATCAGCCTTCTCTGAGACTGCAGGATATACCTGATTCTGAATCTAGATTCTGTAGCTGGCATCTTGCAGAGATCACAGAATGTGTTCATTTTGTTTCCCATTGTATTTCCTATATCTATTACAGTGTTTGGCATGGAGTAGATGTCCCTCTCTAAATATCTTGGCTGAACAAATGAAAAATGAACTTATGAGCAAACAGTAGATCTTACTAATGCTAATCATTGGCCTAATTTGCAGAATTTTGCCTTGCTGCAGACTGCCCATCCTGATGCTCTTACTGCTGAGATATGAAGTAATTTCTTGTTGTATTATACCGCATCACAATGAAACTAGTATCTGATAGGACTACCACTGATTAACATATTTCCACTTGCGTGGCTGACTTAAGAGCATCTCCTGCAGTTGGGGCCTATACTCTTCCTTGGTGTGAATAATTTCAAGATGCTGGCTCCTATTAGATAAACTTGTTGGGTCACATATCCACCAGGCTATTCTGCAATCCATTCTATAGTTTATACTTAATTCTGTTTATCTTTAAACATATGAACAAAAGTTTACCTCTGAAGCCAAGAGTCCAAAATTAATTCCAATTAAAGTTAAAATGTTAGCATCATACCATGTCCTGATTTTATTCTCACAACCCTAAGGAAAATAAGTTATTTAGATTGACTTAGTGATGTATATGGTCTTCTATATAATTCTACTCCCAAGAATAAGAAACATACATCATCATTGTCATTGCTGGGGTTCCTCCCTTCAGTTTTTGCCAACATTCATACCCCTTTACTTCTGGTATTGCAGTCCCTAAGCAATGCTATACACGAGGGCTTTGCCATAAGTTGCCTCCTCTTTCTGCAGGAATTTCGGAAGGAAAGCTGGGAAGATAGATTGAGGGCATTCCAAGATCTAGGAGCACATATATGATTTACTCCAATAAATTTTATTTAATTAATGTATTACATAACTATATAACATCATGATTTACCTAATTACAGGTTAGATTTAGTGATATGGCTTAAGAACCTAACCAACATGAATAACATGATTTTTATATAAAAATTTGCTCAGAATTCCAAAGTGACTTACTCTTCTACTCCCTATGCCCCCCCCCCCAAAAAAAATCACTGTAAACACTTGGAGAAGCTCTAACTGATCTTTACCTCTAGGTAAATTGCAGTCAGTGGCTCATCACAAAACCACTTTCTTAATGTAGAATTTGTGCAGGAACATGGAATCTGTAGTGAATTTTCTTTGGTCATGTTCTTTTTCCAATCTGTGTAATTTTTTTGGCCACAACACTGTAACTAAGAAAAAGAGCCTGTTATATTTGCTATAAAATATTCACAATGTGGTTAATTGTATGATTCTCATGAATATTAAGGTGGCTTTTTGTGATGAAGGTAGTTTGCTCTCCATGGAAATATATTAAATTCAACAAAAAGTATACTTTGAATTTAGCTCATTACTTTGTTGCCCCTGTTGTTATTAACCAGAGCTAAAGATTTCTATTCATACTTCTAGTCATTATGTTTGGATGTAATTGTTATATTTGAATTTTATCTCATGGGAGTCCAAGATGGAAGTTATACCTGTTCTACTGGAGCTGCAAACTGTGTTTAGGATCCAAGTATAAAACAGAGAATCACCTGAGCTATGTTTTCCTTCTAACTACATAGTAGTCTCCTTTATATTTATTTAGAATTTGCTACCACTGTTTAATATGCACAAAAAGAAACTCAGGGTTGTTTTCATTTTCTTAGAATTAATATGTTGTTGTTGTTGTTATGTGCCATCGAGTCAGACCCAACTCATAGCGACCCCTCCTTGGGCTCCTGAGGCAGTATCACTATAGATTGCCCCATCTTCCTTCCGAGGAGTGGCTGGTGGGTTTGAACTGCCAGCCTTCTGGTTAGCATTCAAGTGCTTTAGCCATACGCTACCAGAGCTCCCTAGAATTAATATAAGATATTAAATTTCACTGTCATATTGTAAAAAAATTGCCACAAAGACCAAGAGTATCTGATAACAAAAATATTCATAAAAATGATCAGAATATTCGTAAATTATCAGAATATTCATAAATATTCATAAGAAATATCTATTTTCTGATGCTGATTCTGGAATCCTATGAAGCTGAGTTGGGAGGACTTGAGAGAATTAGCTTACATATTTGTCACATAGGAAATAAGAGAAAGTTAAAGTATTTCACTTCTTTCTAATCTAAACTTGTTATTGAAAATTATAACATCAGTACTACCTATATTATAATATGTGCAAACGATATTATTAAAATGCTGAATGACTAAATTAGTGATCATACTTAGGGTATTAAAAAATTAGGGATTAAGTTAACCAACTAAACCTACACGTACCATTTCTATTATATTCATGGCTAGTAACTGTAAGCTGGAATCTCACTAATAATAGTGACATTATGTTGTTTTTAGCTGCTCTCAGTCTCTGACTCATGGGAACCCTATACATAGTGAAAATTCTGCCCATTCCTGTGCCATACCTATGGTCAACTGTGGATCAAATCATGGTGATCCATAGGGTTTTCATTGTCTAATTTTCCTTGTCTACCTTAGTATCCACCAGCCACACCTCGGAAGGAAGATGGGGCAATCTACTTCTGTAGTGATACTGTCTCGGAAACCCAAGGAGGGGTCGCTATGAGTTGGGTCTGACTCGATGGCACATAACAACAATAATACCTTAGTCTGAAAGCTCTGCTGAACCTGCTCAGCATCACAGCTACATGCAAGTCTCAATAGACAGATGGCTGGTGGCTATGCTTGAGGTGTATTGGCTGGGAACTGAACCCTGGTCTCTTTCGTGGAAGGCAATAATTCTACTACTGAACCACTACAGCCTCAGTGATGTCATTAAAAAAATTAAAAATTAAAAAAAAAAAAGTTGCCATCAAGTTGATTCCAACTCCATGTGTGTCAGAGCAGAACTGCTTCATGGGGATTTCAATGGCTGACTTTTTAGAAGTGGATTGCCAGCCTTTTCTTCTGAGGTACCCTTGGTGGACGCCTATCTCCAATCTTTTGGTGAGTAGTCTAGTGAGTTAACTATTTACAACAACCAGGATCCCTTTGATGTGATACATAGAGCTGTTTTTTAGTGTATGGGTTTCAGGAAAGTTTCACCCTCTGCTATAAATTGCAAGCAGTCTGAAACTTCAATACATGTACATCATATACATCAGAGAAAAAAATAACACAAGTAAAATCATTTAGAATTACATTTCAATCATCTTAAAATGCATTTCTGTTATCATGTGCACTAAAAATAATAACTACTTTTTATAAGAGATATCTAATGTAGCAGTTACTATAAACTATGATGCCAGATGATCTGGGCTTGAATCTTGGCTCTGCTACTTATTGCCTGTGTGGCGCTAGGTAAAGTAGCGAATTTCTCTGTCCTTCATCTATGAAACGGGGTATTACTACCTCATACCTCTGTGGGTTGTTGGGAGGACAATGAGTAATATATGCAAAGCACTTACAAGGGTACTGATACTGATACTATGTAAATGTTTACTATTTTCATTACTGAGCACTTATTATGTTCCAGGTGCTCTAAACCATTTGGCTGACTAACCCCCTTCCCTTTCCACTGCTCCTTCTCAGAAAAATTTGAATGGATTATGAAATAAGAATTCTTACAACAATCTCAAGCAAACCAAAGCCATTGCTGCCGGGTTGATGCTGACTCATAGTGATCCTATAGGTCAGAGTAGAACTGCCTCACAGCGTTTCCAAGGCTGTGAATCTTTCTGGAAACAGACTGGTGGGTTTTTGGTTAGCAGCAGAGTGCTTAACCACTGGGCCACCAGGACTCTTTTCTTACAACAATATCTAACAAGTATCATTTGCTGCTAACTATGTGTAATATCCAAGGCTTTCTGTACATACTATACATTACTCCTGCCAAGGAGAGGTAGGGGTTACTATGGCCATTTTACTAATAAGGAAACTGAAATTACGAGGGTGACTTGTCCAGAGTCACAGAGCTACTGCAATGCAATCTTAATTCTGGCATTCAGGCTCCCAAGTTAACTCATCATGCAACTCTCCTGCCAGCAGGGACTGCTGATCAGATTTATCTTTCATTGGATGCAGCGGGGCAGAAAAAGTCCATTTGACAGAGGACTGCTGACACTATTGTAGATGAAATGCTTATCAATTAGACCAGAAAAGGAGAAAGAAGTTGTGAAAAGGAGGATAAAACAAATTCAAGATTTCAAGTGGGGAAAAGGTGCTCTACCAGCTTGTTTGGAAGTTTATGAACCTCTCACTCCTCTGTCCTGTCCTCCGGACACTCCCTGTTTTTCCTCCTACGGTGGTGGTCACCTTTGATATCTAATTATGGTTTCATAGTAATTTCTTCTTACTGTTTTCTGTAACAAATTCAGAAAAGTCCACTTGGGTATGTCTTCAGGCATATTTTTAGATCCATACTTGGAGACGACAAAATCAAATTCATTGCTCCATACTTGGTGAACCTATTGAAAATAGAATTTAAAGTGAAAACTTGATAGAAACTTCCCCTGATGGCTACTCAGAAAAATATATTCAATATTGGCTTTTCCTTCTCTTTAAGTTAATTTAGTTTACAGCATTTTAAGTTATAGAAAATGACAGGAATGCAAATGACTCTTGATTATAGAAATGCAAATGACTTTTTCCCAGTGAGGGTGCAGTTGATCCCTCTCC